CTGCCTTCAGTTAAGGTCATGATCCTAGAGGTCCTGGGATCAAGTCTTGCATCAGTCCTCTGCACAGAGCCTGCTTCCCCCTTTGCCTATGTCTCTGCCCCTCTCTGTAGTTTATCATGAATAAACAAATAAAATCTTTAAAAAAATTCCTTAAGAAGCCAAAAAACTCTTCATTTGCTTCTTGAAAATATTGAGAATCAGCTTCTTTTGGATGAGTGTAATTCCTGTGCTTTTTTTTTTTCTTTTCTTTTTTTTTGTATATTTGGAGATCCTCTCTGGCTGCTGTTCTCTGACCTGTGACTCCATCCCAGCCTTGTCTCCTTACCTGTGATGAGGCCCTGTTTATTCCTGTGTGTCAGAATTCACAGAGTTCCCATTGAGCATTTTGAGTCTGATGTTCTCAGGACTTTGTAGGTACTTACTTATCGCTACTGAAATTCACATCATTCTCATTAATTTTTTGTTAGCACCTCATTAAATTCCTTTGAGAAATTTTACACTTCTGCTTCTATTCTCTGTGCAGCTATAAAAAAACACTTTATTGCTTAGAAGTCAACTGATCTGAACATGTAGCCATCTAGTACATCATAATCCTAAATTGGAAATTCATTTTAGAATTTGCAGAAATAAATGGAATATTTTTGGACCATTTAAAATATGTACAAAAAGTACTTGCTGATAAAGTTTTCATTCTATTTCTAATTTTCTGTTATTGCTCTTTCTGTTGTTGCCTCTGGTTTCCCTCTTTATTCTCTTTCTCATGGGAGATTGAGCCAAATGATTGAATTTAGTCATCGTAATAGCCCATCAAGCCTGATGCTTTGATTTGGGCAGACCGTTCTTCCAGGACAAGGCAGTTTTCATATAAAGAACTGGCTTGGGCTTGGGCAGGGTAGACATCTGCCCACAGGAAGTGCTTGGCTGGCTTTTGGCAGGGTTTCCCAGCCATTCAGAAGAGTTTAGGAAAGCTCCTAGAGAGGAGTTTTAGAAGACAAATACCCACATTTGCATTAGGACCTCCTTAGGGAGAAAGGAAAAGGTGAAAAATGGAGACTATGCCCTCAATGCTCTCTAACTACCCCAGACTTCAAGCCTAGCTGGTTCAGCGGGGCGGGGAGGAGGGGGTGGCGGGGGGAGGGTTAAGGGGGGGGAGGAGGTAGGTTTTCAATTGGAAATAAGATTGGGATTTAAATCCGGTGGTATTAAAAGAAAAAAAGAAAGGCTCAAGGATCTGTCTGACATGTAGAAAAGGGATGAGAGTAGCTGAAGGCAGTGACAGTAAGAAATAAAACCATTTCATCTTTATAATCCACTGAATTGAGGCCAGATACAAGTAAATGTCAACTCCTTCATGAATCTTGTCTGTCTTGATTTCCATTGTGTTCCCAGAAATACCTGGCACATATTTGGTAGGTACCCAGTAGATAATTTTTGAGGAAACAAGCAAGCAAACATAACATAAACAAAACAATGTCCTCTGAGGTCAGATGGAGGCAAATATGAAATATTACTCTGCCATTTCCTAATGGTTGACTTAAACAATATCCTCAATATCACATCCATGTGTTCTCTGAGCTCCTGTATATATACTCCTGTGAGTATAATAATGATAATGTTAATCTCACAGGATGGTACTGGTTGACCAGATAATATATAAGCACAGAATAAGTATTCAATAAACATTTATTTTATTTCCTCCTTTGCATATGCATATTATATACACATTCTGTTTTATGCAGCTATTCAAGATGAATTCCTGTGGATGGTGAATAAATAATATTAAATTCCAAACAAAGAATTCAACACAAACAGTGACCTTAGTTCTGTAAAGATTTACTTAATGAGAATTCTTTTCTTAAGCTCTGAGAAACATTATATCCAGTGAAACAAATGTTGTAGGATTAATGATACCAAACCAATCCCAGGCAGCATTTTCTACCAATTTCTTTTTCCTTCCTTTCATAGATTCCTACTCCCTCTGCAGGAAGACCTTTCTCCCATTCTTTTTTCCTCTTTCTGTTTTTCTTATTTTTTTAAACCCTCTTTCATTTCTATGAACAGAAAAAAAATGAAGGAGAAAAAAGGAGAGTATCAAAGAAAAGGAATGAGATTGGAAGATCAATCTCTTGGCTCCCCAAGTAGGAAGAAATAAGGGTAGGAGGGAGGCAGTGGCACTCAGGAGGGAAGAGCAGAGGTGGTACTTTACCAAGTGCCATTAGCAAGTGTCTATTTGAGAGAAGTTTACACATAAGAGTTTTTTTTTAATATTTTTTTTTGAGAGAGAGTTTTTTTCCCCAGAAAATCAGAAACTTAGAGAAGCAAGAAAAAGATTCTCACAGAGATGACAACAGGGTTTTGTTTCCCTCGAGAAAGAGGATACCAGATATCGAACCAGCCCACTTGATACTGCCCAGAGCCAGGCCAGTTGCAGGATTTTGTTCCATTCATTTTTTTATAGCAGAATTTTGGTGTTTTCCTCAAATTTGCCCTTGGAAATCTGGGTTTCTCCTCATGGCTGCCATTTGGCACTCTGTCTCTTATATGGTCCATCTACACAAGGGTAAGTGAGGCAAATGTTTCTCTAAGAAACCCAGTTTCTCTGCTCCTTGAAAAGATGACCAAGAACAGAAATGATTTTGGGAATTTCAGAAAGCCAGCCCACTGAGGGGAAATTCAGATTCATGTGAAGGATAAAGTATTCCTCTAAATAATCAAGCTCTTCTTGCACACTTTAAACATAATTGAATTCCTGTGCACACTCATATACTCACACGCAAGCACACATGTATGAACCCAGATAAATAAGCCTGTCACTTGTCCAGAAATCAGTTGCTTAAATATCTGAGGGAAGACAATTATGTTTAACCTGAATTTGTCAGGGCCTGTGGATTTCCTGTTGCTTTTTTCTTTCCTTTTTTGTGGCCATCACTAATTTATGAAAAATATAATCACTAGGAATCTCTTATGTGTTCAGCACTGTATGAAGTGCTATTTGAATGAAGTGAAATATGAAGCACAGTCCCTTTCTTGGAAAACATGGGACCTGGGAATAGGCACACACATAATTGAGCAGTAAATCTTACAGTGTTCAAGGTCAGGGGATATTTCTACCTTGTGCGCTGTAAATTAGCTCATTCTTCCTCTCGTGACCTTCCTTTTTAGAAGGTTTTCTTAAGCCCACTTGGTGGGCTTAATAAGTCTCTGAACTATGGCTTTTAGTTTGCAAAATTTAATTCTGATTTGCTTCATTTGAGGGGATGTACCTAGAAAGGCACATCCTAGTTTCTGTGCTCCTTGCTCTACCTTGTATTGGCCACAAAGGCTGGGGGACTCCATGGAGAGTCAATGGAACTCAACAAGGATGTGGCGAACGATTGCTCTACTCCGGATGCTGTGTGCTAAGTGTTACAGCACAGACACTGACTCTATGTTCAAGGAGTTTACAGTGTTCTAGAGAAGACAGATGGGGATGCAACAAACATGCACAAAGCAGGGAGAAATTCTTTCTAACTAAAGAGAATGAGCAAGGTTTTAATGGAAGAAGCATGATTTAGATAGGTTCAGAGATCATTCCAGGAAATAGTGTCTTGAGTTTACAGAAAGCTTGGTGGAGATGAGGTGGTTGAAGACATCCATAGCCAGAGCATAAGGGATGAGCTTTGAGTGTTTGGCAGGCTTGACTTGTCAGTTTATGTTGATTTTAGCATGAACTTCAGCAATATTTGTATATTTTCCCATTTTCAGTCTGCAGTTCTCCTGTAAGAAAGGTATTTAGAAGATTCTATTTCCAGAAGCCTATTTGGAGACATAAGCTCGGCAGCTGGCATGATAATGAACCCATTTCAATAGAATAAATCCCATTACTATTAATATTAAGCAGCCACAGAATGATTCATGAAGTTCTTTTCAAAATTCAAAAAGTACTTAATCAAAAGGAGGGGGGAGGAGAAAGAATAAATAGAAATCATGTCAAAGTTGATTATTGTTGGCTTTCTTTAAGAGTCAAATCCACTGTTTCTCAGGCTGACTGATGCTTAGTGCATTGATTTATTTTACCAAATAAAACTTTGCATTTGGTCTGATAGAGAAAAACCTGACAAAAGGCTCAAATGTCCAGGGAGTTTATTGCTTTTTTGTAGGTCGCATAGCTGCCCTAAGGTATATAAGTTCTGTGTTCCAGATTTTCTAGATGTTTTCAGCTGATGAATTTTCTGTTAATTTCTCTCTCTGTCTCTTGTTCATTGGTCCTCATTTCATCCTGCCTTTTGTTTCCTAGCACACAAATAGGTAGCCCCACTTCTTCCTAAGGAAAGATTAAAAAAAGATTTTATATATTTATTCATGAGAGACACACAGAGAGAGGTAGAGACATAGGCAGAGGGAGAAGCAGGCTCCTTGAGGGGAGCCCGAGGTAGGACTTGATCCAGGACCCCTGAATCATGACCTGAGCCCAAGGCAGATGCTCAACCACTGAGCCACCCAGGCATCCTGATTTAAATGATTATCTATCATTACCCAGAAATGTACCTCTTTATCCTTTATTTGATTTCTGTATGTTCATTTTCTATCTACTTCAAGTGTTACTTTTTCTTCCCTTCACTTTTAATCATATGAAAGCTCAATTTTTTTTTAGTAACCTTAGTACCCGATATTTTCAAAAGCATTTTGATAACTTAAATACACTATTTCAATGGCTTCAATGGCTTCTATTAACAAATTTACATTTTCTCTCTAAAATATAGTACTTGAGTTAGTCAGATATTTTGCCCAAAGAAACCACACAACCCATCCCAAAAGCTTACCCCTTGATTTTGCATTTAATGGAGTTCACTGGCTGGCCTCATAAAGAAATGACTCACAAATCTTAATTGAGTTCCTTATGGAAAGAAGTCAGATTTGGAAGAAGAGGCGAGAATGACCCCCGGACCGGCCAAAGCCCGCGTGCCGCCGCATCCCCGCGTCCAGCGCTTACGTCCCACCACCATCGCCACCATCGCCACCATGCCCAAGAGAAAGGCTGAAGGGGATGCTAAAGGAGATAAAGCCAAGGTGAAGGATGAGCCACAGAGAAGATCTGCAAGGTTATCTGCTAAACCTGCTCCTCCAAAGCCAGAGCCCAAGCCTAAAAAGGCCCCTGTAAAGAAGGGAGAGAAGGTACCCAAAGGGAAAAAGGGGAAAGCTGATGCTGGCAAGGATGGAAATACCCTGCAGGACATGGAGATGCCAAAACAGACCAGGCACAGAAAGCTGAAGGTCCTGGAGATGCCAAGTGAAGTGTGTGCATTTTTGATAACTGTGTACTTCTGGTGACTGTACAGTTTGAAACACTATTTTTTATCAAGTTTTATAAAAATGCAGAATTTTGTTTTACTTTTTTTTTTTTTTAGCTATGTTGTTAGCACATGGAACACTTCACTGTTGTTTTGGGGGAAGGGCATATGCCACTAATAGAATATCTCCGAAGCTAGATTGATAAAAAGAGGGAAAAACACCTTCCCCTTCTAGTTTTGAGAATCTTCCTCTTGGCTCCCAGGAGGAGGGATTCCTTGATGTTGATACACATGAGCCACCTTGGTGGTGTGGAAAAACTAAAATCCATTTTTTTATGTCCTCTTCTCCCTCTCTGCCTTCAACATAGACTTGACTCCCTTAAACCCAGAGACCTGTTGGAACCTGACCCCATGAAATGGTTCCCAGTATGTCGGGCAATCTGGAATTTACAGTGTCACCACTGAGATGGCGTCCCTCAAAAGAGTTTCTTTTTTTTAGCTTGTGGATCTTCAGATTGATAATTCTGCCATTTTCGTTTCATTTCCTGAAAGTCAGGGTCGGCTTGTGAAAAGTTGTTAAAGAACATGCTAAATATGAACTGTCAACCCTCACTCTAAACTTTCCCTGTTTAGAGCATCACATGAAGACTTCATTGGGTTTTATAGTGGCTTTCTGATTTTGGGAGTCCATTGAAGAAAGTAGTTTGAAGTTGTTGTATACTGTTAATGACCGTCCACACATGTCCTGCCTGAAATACCATGATTGTTTATGAAAAGTATCTTTAATAAAGCTGGATACAGTTTGGCTTGGAAAAAAATAAAAAAAGAAGAAGTCAAATTGGTAGCCAACCAGGTTTTCAGCAATTTGCCAGTTACATGAGGGTTTCGGTCAATAGCTCCAAAATTCCTCCTTAAGGAAAGATTTTCAAGTAAGAGCCTGATTAACCAGGTAAGATTTAAAACAGATTTTAGGGATGCCTGGGCTCAGGGTGTGATCCCAGGGTTGTAAGATCGAGCTCCATGTCAGGGTCCACACTGGGTCCACACCTGCTTGAGGCTCTCTCTCCCTCTCCCCCACCCCCCATTTGTGCTCTCTTCTCTCTTTCTAAAAACAAAAAACACAGATTTCAAATCTCAGTCTGCATCAGTATAGAGTATTCATCATTCATCATATGAAACTAATAAAGTGGAAATTGGTGAGTGGAAGAAAGGAACAAGTTACCATGATTGAAAGATTGAAAGATCCCTAGAATGGGTACCTGTGGATGACCCTATTTCATCTGTTTCCAGGACAAGAAATAAGGATAAATAGTTTTTCCTGCTTCTGTGCCCTTGTTTTCTTTCACACTTTCTTCACTATGTTTCTTATAAGAATCTCCATTTAAGTATAGAACTTAGAGTACCACAGTGGATTTAGAGGGGGCTAAAAGGTCCTTCGGATTGCAGTATAGACGTCATCCACATCGGCATGAAGCATATGATGTCTCTGTTCTGTCTATTCAGCAAACTCAATCAGCTTTGAGTTTAAGGCCAAATCTTGTTCCCAGAAAAGCCAACTAAGCTCCTCCCTCACCTGGCTTTTCTTCCTCCATCAGCTTCTCTTGGTGTATAACTTAGTGGCTTAAACAATAAACATATGTTATGTCAGTTGCTCTAGGTCAGAAACCCAGGTGCAGATTAGCTCAGGGTCCTTCACAAAGTGCCACTGAGGTGTCTGCTGAGGCTGCAGTTTTATCAGTGCTCAATGGGGGGGATGATACACTTCCAGACTCACATATAGGGGTTGGCCAGCTTTGGTCATCACTACCTGCAAGCAGGGGCATCAGTTCCTTGACATATGGGCCTTCCACAGGATAGCTCATATTAGGGCAGCTGGCACCCAAGATGAAAGTCGAGTTCTTTCTGTAACCTCACCTTAAATGTGAAATCATACCACCTTTGCCATATTTTTTCATTAGAAGTGGGTCACCAGGTCCAACCTACCCTTCAGAGGAGCAGATTGCACAAAGGAAGAGGAATCATGGTGGGGTGTCTTAGAGGTGCTGGCCATACCTGCTTGTGAATTATTGCAAAACCAGGTACTCTAGAGAGAATCTCTTTTAAGGTAGGGATTTAGCCCCAAGGCATCTTGAAATCCTTAGCACTCGCTTTTAGTCTTTTGGGGGTACCAAAATAGAAAGACTTTTGACATCACCTTCACAATATGGGAGTTTATTTTAAGGAATCTTTAGCTCAGTGGGACTGGTGAAAGTCTTTCTTTGGCCATCTGCTTGATTCCGCTTGATTCCTTCTCTCTGCCAACCCCCTTCCTTGGTTGGTGACTTGAACCTGTCTCTCATCTTCTCAGATTGCAAGTGGCCTGTGATGGCCACCCATGGCTTTCTTTCCTCTAGTTTGTTTTACATCAGCTTGCATTGCTATTTCTGACATTCTTTCTGTGGTCTCACACACTTCCTGAGAGAACATCCTCTGCTGGCCTGTGATCCAAGTAGTTCAGCCCCACATTCAGTAAGAGTCTCTGTCCAAACAGACCCCACAGAGTTTTCAGCAATGATTATTAAAAGATTTTGTTTCTTATTACTACCCTTCTGCACCTGTGAAAAACCTCTCACTTTCCTGCCCAAAGAAGATTCCACTTATTTCCTTTTTTTGGTCCCTATCCATCTCACAAAAGGTCAATTCTTCTGACCACCTGCTGCTACCTTTTAGATCTTCTTTTCCTACTGCTGTTTTTAAAAAATCCCCTGATAAAAATTCCCTTTTCATTTGATTTCTTGTTTTTTTTTTTTTTTAAATTCTTCATCACAAAAAGGGTAAAGGAACTTTCTAGCAAGGAAAGAATTCTCTATAAAGGGGAAGGGATTAAGGGACTAACAAAGAGACCTGAGAGTGGATAAGGGGGAGGAGTCTAGGGGACAAACATATGGTGATACAATTTTTGTCCTGTTGCCTGGTACCTTCTTCCAAATGTGCCCGGCAATAGGATTATAACTGGATTGATAACTCACTTCTTCAGGCTGGCCCTAATTAAGTGACCAGTCATAATCCAGGTGCTTGCCTTTCATTAAGGGGCACGCCTTGGTCTAGTCCTCTTGGCTGGAAATCCTATAGTATTTATAATGTGGTCTTCTGGATAGTATGGCCTGGGGCTGAGATAAAGCCTCCTAGAATCTAGTGCTGTCAGAGAAAGCAAGTACGGTGCTATAAGGTCAATCCAAGTACATTCTCAATAAATGTAAAATAAATAAGCTACCTATACATTCAAAATCCAACAGGGCACCAATGCAGTGAGGATATATAAATATGTGAGTGAGTATGCATAAGTGTAGATTACCAGAAGGAAAATTCATACATTCAAGTGGCATGATGAATCAGACTGAAATTCTGAAGTGCATGTCTTCATGAAAAGACTTAACCAATTTTTATTAATATAGGAATAGAAGAACACATATTCCAAGCTTTCATACCTGTGTGTAAATGCTGAAGTCAGACTCCAACAAAATATGTCTGTCTCCAAATCCTATACCTGGACCCAAGACTGCAGTTCATTTGAAACACCAGCATATTGCAGGAACATCTGAATGATTACTTCTTATGGAACCTTAACAGTGTGTCTCTGAAGTAAAATGAATGCCCACTCTTCCAAATTGAATAGTTTCTCATAAATATTTTTGTCTGAGCATATTCTCTGTGGTTGTGGAAGCTGAGTGAGGGTCTCATTGGTCAGAGCTCTGCTATCCCTGGATGTGTGACACTGGGCGGGGGTGGAGGGGTGGGGGCATGCCTTCATCTCTCTGACTCTTCTACTGAATAAGAACAGATCTCTCTGGGATGCATGTGGAGACTTTGACGAAATATGTGTTAAATGTCAGGAAAAGAGTAAGCACTTAATAAATGGCAACTACTGTGATTATTGCTGTTAGAGAATTTCAGTACTTTCTCTGAAAGAAGACAGGCTGAGGCTTGTGAAATTGTTAAGGCTAGTTCTATACAGCAACAAAAGATCTGGGTGGAGGCAGGCATGCAAACATTTACCTTAGTGATGCGACCCATTCCAATACCTTCAAGTAGCTGAGTGATGAGCTGAGAGTCTCTACATTTCACCTGAGACAGAGACAAAGCCTCTGTCTTTCTGTATTTCCTCTTATGATAATTAAAACAATTCTTGCCATGGACTACACAAAAATGATGGGGGTTTGTGTTTTAAAATGGGCTAACCTTCTAGTGACAGATAAGCCCTCCATATATGATTTAGAGCCCAGCCCTTCTCTATGAATCTTAAAAGAGCAATTTATTCATGACTTTCCTTTCAGTCTAGAATTCTAGATGCTATATTCTTGAATATCTGACTGTAAGTATCCTGATGTGTGAGAGGAGTTATAATTATTTCTGTGCTGGGGTGTTGAGAATAAGGATACAAGATTCATGAGTCTATGTTCCATGGGGGTACTGTTAGTGGTTGAAGGCTGTGCTAAGAGATATTATTGTTTTGTTTAATCCCCATGGGCATTTCTTCTCATTTAATGACTTTCTCATTTCTCTTTCTCCCCTCCCATCAAATCCCATCCATCACTGCCTTTCATCCCCGTTCTGACTAAAGAAAGAATTCCAGTAGATAAGTTCAGGTAGTTTAATTTTCCCTTTAACTTTATGGCAGGCGGCCAAAGCATCACCTCTACTTCCTGACTAATACTACAAATACAAGAAAATTTTAGATTTTCCATGTTGGCACATCTTTTCAGTCAGTAGAACTTGCAAAGGGAGATGGAGTGTGGGAAAGACACACACACACACACACACACACACACACACAGATTCAGCAGCAGAAGTCAGTTGGCACTGGTGCCATAGAGGTCTGCTCTGGAGAGCCTCTCATTTTCTATCACCCTAAACACTGCAAGGAGTTGCCAATCTTTATGCCGCTGGTCATCATCAGGTCTCTCTGTCTCTGGTTCAACTCAGAAAAAATAAGAATGTTATGTCTTCCATGAGGGAAAATAAAGGCTCATTTTTCTTCTTAAATTCTGAGATTCTTTTCTT